TTAAGCTGGGGAGTGGGAACGGTCTCTTGAATGACATTTTACCTGAGGAATGGCTCTTGAGCAGCTTCTCCATGTGTATAACATGACTGCATATTCCTGACCTTCTTCTAGCATTTCATTCTGTAGGAAAGACAACATAATTAGGCATTTTAACAAAAAAAGGTCAAATCCATGTGTCTTCTGTCATTCCAAACCCTTGACCAAACAAACCTATTTCTCTTATCAGACTGTTTATGTACAAACACACATATATTGTAAGCAGAATGATACATCATAACATATGTTTGTAAAACAGTATTACCATAATACATAGGGTCAGCTGATATACTACATGCATAAGAGCTGAGCAGCTATGGATGTGCAGCTTGCCTATAATCCAGCAGCTAAAAAAATTCCATTTATTCTCAGTCACCTGTTTTAGCATCCACCTAATTCTGAGAGAATTCACATCATCATCATCATCCCACTTAAACGAACAAATATCTATCAGATCACTAATAAACAACTGGAACAATTGTGCTTATCTAATGAAAAAACTATCATCTCCCCAGATGAGATTGGTTTTTGTGTTGTTCTTTCTTCCCAAAAATAAAGACACTGTGGTCTATAAGTATAAATAAAATGCCAGTCTGAGGGGAGAGGGTGATGGGGTGGTGTTTATTTTTCTTTTTAAATTCAGGGACTCCAGATGGAATGGTCCAGGATAAAAGAGTCAGCACATGCAGAGCAGTATTCTTTATTACATGGTAAAGGAGAGATACAACAATATCCATACAATCAAAACAGGTTAAGGAGTCACCAAATAATTTTATAAGTACATTGGTGTAAACATTCTTAATTTGCAGTAGTATGTAACCAGGTGCTTTATCTGTCCACTCCAACACTTGTGAACTGGCCTCCAGAATCACAAAACATATTATTTCTCATTTTCCAAGAATGCCATGAAATGAGAACAAGTTCAGTACAAACCAGCAGTGGCAGCCCGTAAGCCCTTTTGTATCCCAAAAAAGTTACATGGTCAGCAGAGATGGAATTACTAGCATGAATTCTTACCTTCTATTGTGGAACACTTAAAACCACAAAATGCCTTACACAAAAGAATGCCAATAAACCACTAGCATATATACTCTTTAGTGAGGAAGCCAACAAAAACCTTTCAACACCACTAAACTGACAGAAAGAGTGGAAACTTGGGTGGATGGAAGGTAATTTTTCACTCAAGTTCCAGCAGCTAGCTGTCACTAGAATTAACTAGCCTCAGAACACTGGGAAAATGCACAGTGAAAGCAGGGAATCTTTGAACAACATTGGCTGATTAAGAAGAAAGATAATTTAAAACATTTTTAAAATCATCTTACCATGCTAGAATGGACTGTAGCTTGCTCGATGTATCTTGCAATGCCTGTGACAAATGCATTTCTGTCTTCAAAATTAGTGTTGAAGTTTGGCTGCAGAGAAAGGAAAATGCAGAATTAAATCTTTGGTAGCAGAATCTCTCCTATGAAGAAAATCTGAGAGACCTGGTATTGTTGACCCTAGAGAACAGAAGGCTCCAGGAGACCTTATAGCACCTTCCAGTACCTAAAGGGGGCCAGGAAGAGAGCTGGAGAGGGAGTTTTTACAAGGATATGTAGTAACAGAACAAGGGGAAATGGATTCAAACTCAAAGAGAGCAGGTTTCAATTAGATATGAGCAAGAATTCCTGACTGTGAGGGTGGTGAGATACTGGAACAAGTTTCCCATAGACGTTATGAAAGTCCCATCCCTAGAAGTGTTCAAGGTCAGGCTGGATGGGGCTTCGAGCAACCTGGTCTAGTGGAAGGTGCCCCTGCCCATGGCAGAAGGGTTGGAACTAGATGATTGTTAAGATCCCTTCCAACTCAAACCATTCTATGATTCTATGAAAAGAATTTATATATATATTGTCAATATTAAGACACTTTGGGTTTGGGCAGTTGGTTTGTTTTTTTTTTTTTTTGAAAAGCAGGTACTCTTTCTTAACAATGGAAAAACTCTTTTTCCTACAATAACAACATACCTGGTAAAGAAGAGATGATGGTGGGGGTTCAATACACGGCTGTTGATCTGGCAGAGGTAATTCTTCCAAGAGATCCACATTGGACAAGGCATCCTCCAGTGTTACTTGAGCAGTCATTTTGCACCTGATCAGAAAATACATACATACATATATATATATATATATGTATACACAGATATATATATGTATACACACATATAACTTTGTATGTGTTACTACATACACAGTAAACAAATGAGTAATACAAAGAGCACGGAATTATTTATACTGTGGGAAATGGGAAGTTTCCCTTCAACCATAATGGCAGAGAAACAGTCAAACAGAAACTCAGCTGGTTTTAGTGTACAAGTTTTAAAAAAGACTTTTGGAACTAACAGCCTTGTCCTTACTTTTAGGAGTTGAGAAATGTTTCTCTTCCTCCACTGCTGCACACCAGAAACACACCAAAAATGGAGGAAAGTATGACCTCTAATGCTCAGTTTGAGGCAATGTGCTATCAAAATCTTACACGCAACTACTACACTCAGACATCTTCAGGAGACAAGCCTGTCAAAAGGTTCCAGCAGTCTCCAGTGTTTCATGGGCCGGGCCCAGAGAGTGCTGGTGAACGGGGCTGCATCCAGTTGGCGGCCAGTCGCCAGCGGTGTCCCCAGGGGTCAGTGCTGGGACCAGTTCTGTTTAACATCTTTATCGATGATTTAGATGAGGGGATTGAGTCCATCATCAGCAAATTTGCAGATGACACCAAGTTGGGAGGGAGTGTCGACCTGCCGGAAGGCAGGAGGGCTCTGCAGAGGGATCTGGATAGACTGGAGAAATGGGCTGACTCCAATGGGATGAAGTCCAACAAGGCCAAGTGCCGGGTCCTGCACTTTGGCCCCAACAACCCCCTGCAGCGCTACAGGCTGGGCACAGAGTGGCTGGAGAGCAGCCAGGCAGAAAGGGACCTGGGGGTGCTGATCGACAGGAGGCTGAACATGAGCCAGCAGTGTGCCCAGGTGGCCAAGAAGGCCAATGGCATCCTGGCCTGCATCAAGAACAGTGTGGCCAGCAGGAGCAGGGAAGTGAT